CTCGCGCTGCCGCCCCGACGGGACAGGCCGCCGCGCCGCGGGGATTTGCATCTCTCCTCCCACGTGAGGCTTTCCTGTGCGTCAGTGTCGCCTCGGGACTTTACTGGGCCTCCACCCACTCGCTCTTCAGGGGGCCCCCTCTCATCGCCACCGTGACCTGGGGCTGCAGGAGCCCACGGTGGTCAGGAGGAGGTGGGGAGGGTGGCGGGGGGGCTACTCCTTGTCCTCCCAGGTTCCCCAGGCAGCCGGACCCCCTGCAGCTCACTAGCCTGGAGCCCAGTTCCTGGCTTCCTGTTTCCTTCCTTCAGATCGGCTCCCTCAGGGCAACCAGCCGCGTGGAGGGCGGGGAGGCAGGAGCAAGACCCCACACTCAGCCCCACCAGTGTGGCTCAGTGGGTAGGGCATCGACCTATGAACCAGGAGGTCACAATTTGATTCCGGGTCAGGGCACAGGCAGGGGTTTCAGGCTCCATCACTAGTGTGGAGCGTGCAGGAGGCAGCCCATCCATGATTCTCCCCCATCATTGATGTTTCCCTTTCTCCTCTCCCTTCCTCTCTGAAATCAATGAAAATATATTCAAAACAACAACAAAACCTACAAAACTCAGACCCCACTGTGCTGGGATTCAGTGGGTCTGCTCCTCGGAGAGAGGGCAGCCCCCCCCAGAGGTGCAGGCAGCCCCCCCCCTTCAGCGCCGTGAGCCTCGCCGTGGCCCCGCTGAGGGTGAACGCTGAGTCCTGTGTGGCGGGCTGGGCCCTGCCTGGCCCCTCTGCATTGCTCATTGCAGCCTGCCCCATGCTCGGCCCTTCCCCCCTGGCCCTGACCTCCCCGAGCCCTGCAGCTGGGGGCTGTGGCGAGCCCTTCCCCTCAGATTGCACCTGCTCTGGACCAGGAGCTGGAGAGAGCGAGCCCAGCTGGTGTTCTCCGTCCACAGCTGAAGGCCTGCGGCCCCAGGTGCTGCTGGGAGAGTCCCAGGTGCTTCCGCTCCCTCCTCAGGGGTCTTGTCAGCTCTCCTCCTGGGAGCGAGATGGAACCCCTGATGCACAGCAGGAGCCCGTGAATGCTCTCGAAAATAAAGGCAAAAATGAGGACGCCTGGAGAGGGAGACAGACGCTGGATCTGCGGATGCACACGGAGAGCAGCAGACCTGCCCTCACACACCTGCAGCCGATTCTCCCCTCCTGGGTGAGTGACCACGGCTTCAACGCCACCTCTCTCCCTCCCTGGGAAAAATGAGTCCCTGGCCCCAAGGTCACCGCTGGGCAGCAATCTCAGGTCACAGGCAGGGGGGCCTGGGCCTGGCCGCCTGCTTCCCGGGCACCCAGGCTGCTGTGTCCCCGCCCAGACAGAGGGCCTGCTTCAGGCCTCCCATTGCCTCCGGGGAAGCCCTGTGTTCTTCTGGGGAAGCAGCCACTGTCTGTGGTAAAAAGACCCAATTCTTGGCGCTCAAACGTCTCTAGAGCGTGGTCCCGAGCTACCCAGGAACCCTCTGCCCTGCCGGAGCCCAGGCCCCAGCCTCCTCTGCTCCCAGACTCACCACTCACGGTCAGGACTGGCCTTCCCTTCCTCCCCCACTTCCTCCCCCAACTCGCCTCCTATTGAAACCATGTTCTTCTCAGGGGAGATTCCCTGCTCTGGGCTCTCATCACACTTCCATCCAGACTAGCGCTGTTCAGAGAGAAATGAAACACGCCGCATGCGTGTAAGCTTTCTAGTTCTCACGTGAAAAAAGGAAACGGTGAAATTAATTTTTAAAAATCTTTATTGTTAAAAGTATTACATGTGTCCCCTTCCCTCCCCCATCAACCTCTCCCAGCCGCTCCCATCCCCGCCCCAGGCCTTCACCACCCGATTGTCTGTGTCCTCAGGTCATGCATGTATTAGCATGCACACCAGGCCATTGGTTGACCCCTTCCCACTCACCCTTCCCGGCTTCCCTCTGAGGTTCGATGCTTCTATGTCTCTGGATCTATTTTTGTTCATCAGTTTATGCTGCTCGTTAGATTCCACAGGTGAGTGAGATCATGTGATATTTATCTTTCTCCTACTGGCTTATTTCGGTCAGCATAATGCTCTCCAGGTCCCTTCAGGCTGTTGCAAATGTAAGAGTTCTTTCTTTTTTATAGCTGGGAGGGATTCCGTTGTGTAAATGTGCCACAGTTTTTAATCCATTCATCTTAAAATTAATTTTTGTGCTGTAGATAACCCAATTCCTACAGAATGTTAACCTTTCAGTCTATAACCCATATAAAAATTATTGAGATACTCTCATTCCTGATTTCATCCTAAATCTCTGAAGTCTGGTGCGTAGCTGCACTTTCAGGACATCTGGGTTGGACCATGGCCACACGTGGCTGGTGGCTGCCCCACAGGACAGCACAGGCCCCGGCCACTCACCCAGCGCTTTCCACATCCTGCCTGGGTGATAGTCATACTGGCTTTGCGTGTCTTTGCCATCAGCGTTGCGTGTCTTTATTCCACCGTTGAGTGTCCGCTGTACAAACAGAGGCTTCCTTCCCTTCTCCCTTTTAAGAACCTCTTCCTGGGGCTCCCCCAACCATTCTCGACTGTTTCATCTCGTGACACCTTCATCCTCTTGAAAACTGTTGACAACCCCAAGATTTTTGGTGTTGCTGTTCTTTTAATGGACATTTGGTGTATCCATTAAAAGTGGATTCTTAGAAAAAAATCAAAATATGTATTCATTAAAAATGACCATTCTAAACCCATTGTGTGTTCAAACAAACATTATGAAAAACAAGAAAATTTCCATCACACAGAAAATTAGTGATTTACAGCTTGGACAGTCTCTTCAGTGTCTGGCTTGAGAGCAGGCATCTGGATTCTTCCATCTGCTTCTGCCTTTCATCT